TTTTATAATCAGAACCCGGCATTAGTTATTCAGGGTATCTTGGAGGGCAAGTAGATGGAGCGTCTAGGTTCTCAAACTCGCAAAGGTTCAAGGACAGTGCCCTTGAGGTTGTACCCCAGGTTTCAGACGAGCGCCATATGGCGACCACAACCCTAAACCCTATGTTGGGGGAACCTTCTATGTTAGGGTACGAGCTTCAGGGGTACAACACTTGAAGCCTTAGTTCATTTACTGCGGGCCTAGGAAAAAGCTTACTCAGTGTTCAGGACTTGGGCCTGCAGGTGCAGGGTACACCTGAACCCTCCAACTTCATTTCTTTTGGGGGAGTGGCATGTTTTCGGTGCCGATTTTTGTGAGCACTCCGCAAAACAGGTACAGCCTTGGAGGTCCTAGGTAGGACCCAGTAGTGCAGAGGTTTAGGGTTGAGGAATTAAGATCCATTGACCTGCTTCTTGAACTGCAATGCCCGGGCCTAAACCTTACGTCCGGAAGTTATTATATACCCATATATACATGTACATATGCATATATACCCATATACATTGATATATAAGTATACATGTGTGTACGCGGATGTAGCCCGAATACCTCCTACTGTGTTCAAGAACAGCTGCCCAGGATCATCGTGTGCGCAATTTCAATAGGCTGCTTGCTGTATTTCACCGCGACTCTCGGCCTACCTGTCCAGCGTGTAACGGCGGAGGTTTTGAGGCATATAATGTCAAGCCCGAAGTAAGGTTAGCCTTCAAAGAACCCTACAGATACTGGACAGCAAATGAAATATTCTGCAGGATCTCCGCTTGTTGCTTTCTATGACTGATGTTATGGAGCCTACGGCCACTGAGTAATCAACCCTTTTTCTGTTTGTGCCGCTGAATAGAAAGTTTTTTTAAAGGAAGGTGGTTTGCTAATCAGCTGTTGCAGGCGAAGCTGAGGAATGCCGAACAAGGCTTTGCTGGAGAAGGTTTGAGAATTTCTTTATGTGCTATGGATCATGTAACGCCTTTTGCAGTGTTGGCTCTTCTGCTGTAGCCCTGACTAGCCGCAATCCAGAGCAGGAAATTTCTGGCTTTGAACTTACACAAAGTCTCCTCCCTCTGATTCTATCAGGAATTTACTACGCTAGGGTCTCAACCTCGCCGTGAAGCCACTGTGCTTCATACTGTGCCGCCTTCACACACTACAAACACTTGGTCAGATATTCAAAAGGGCAAAATATAGTCCTATGCCACACTGCAGACGTTTGTTTCTTTCAACTTAGCCAGTTGTTGTAGCCCTCACTCAAATATGTTCGTGCTTAGGGTTATTACGCAAACTACTCTCTCCATTTGATTCTATGGGATCCGAAGGAAGCTAGAACCTTTCGCACCCTCTCCCTTTGTCCCCGTCTTCTTTGCTCTCTGTCTCTTTTTCTTTCTTCTCCTGTATCAGATCAGAACACTAGGTGGGACTTCAGGAAAATTGCTACGCTTCCTTGATGTTCGAGAAGGGAACCTGTCCGAATCAACTTGAGGGGGCCTTCAATCATACGTTCTCCCACTGAATGACTCATTCGTTCGTGTAGGATACCGTGTGAACTTAAAAGCTGTTGTACTGACTCAAGCAGGGATATCGCCTGCATAAGTTTCACGATAATATTCCAATAGCTTGGGTGGGATTTTTGCTACAACTTGATCACCCTATAGCTTTGAGGTTCTTCTTTTCCAGGATATAAAGGCAGCTGAAGCTGAAATTCTTTTTTGGAGGCTTGAAGGGCAATCAAGATACGCAATCAGAGTTACCCAAATCATTAACCGTTAAACCCTAAACCCCTTAACAATGACCCCTAAGCCCCTAAACCCTAAACTCCCTGAAGCCAACAACTCTAAACCCTAAACCCTAAGCCCTATATATCCCTAAACCCTAAACCCTAAGCCCTAAACCCTAAACCCTAAACCCTAAAGCCCAAACCAAGTCAAGGAAGGCTTCGCAGGAAAGCCTGAGCACGATCCATGTTTGCCTCGGCGTTGTCGCTGGTGAGCAGGCCAATTTTTTGCCAGAAGGTTTAGGGTCTCGGGTTTGGGGTTCAGGGTTTAGGGTTTAGAGCTAGAGGGCCTGAATATGAGCTAGAGTCTCATGTCCTCAAAGGTGGTTGAGTAGGGTTTAGGAATGTTTAGGGTCTAAACTGATGGGGTTAAGGGTTTGTGGTTTAGGGTTTAAGGTCTAAACATTTTAAACGGTGGTTATAAGGGCGAGTATATAGGGGGAGGATTATAGAGGTATTGAGGGGGTTCTAGGAGTGTAGACTTCAGCTCAGATGCCTAGTACACGTATGGCATAGGGTACCTCAAGAGACCTCAAACAGATCTCGAAACGATGCTGGTAGCCATTCAGACCCTCTTAGTACATTGTTTATGGTTTAGGGAAAGGTCTCGGGCTAAAGCTAAAGTAACGGCTTACAAGGAACATTGTGCAGGCTTCTCCTCGTCTATTGTTAAGTCTTCTTACTAGCCTGAGAAGAAATCATGTTTGCTTGTGGTTGTTTGTTGCTGCACAGCCAGGTCACCAACCCTGAACCCTAAACCCTCGTGTTGTTTTCAGCTGCTAGGAAGGGTCACGAGGCGGGGTTTGAAGTGTAGCGCAGCTAAACCCCTCAGCCCCTAACCCCTGAATCTCTGAATCCAGTAAGCCTGACTCTGAATCCCCAAGCCCTAAACCCTGAATCCCTACACCCTCATTCCCTAAATCCCTCAAGGCGCAAGCCGGGCTTTTGCGGTTGGAAGGGCTTGAAGGCCGCACCATGACCTTTCCTAAATAGGTAGTCCCCAAAACTGGAGAATCAATGGAACATGAGTCGGGAATTGTTGTTGCACAGCGGCTGTAAAAAGAAATTGAGGCACGTAGAATAAGTTGTCAGCTCAACAACCCTTTTACGATTTATCTCCACTACGGTATATTTTAGGCTAAGTTCCTTGACAGCAAGTCACTTGTGGACTGGATTTCTCAAGATGATAGGTTCTTGCGGGGCCTTCCCGGTGGTTTAGACTTCACTTGAGTTATAGTCTAGATTCCTTAAAGGGTGGTTATGTAGGCCAAACTTTCCCCAAGCGAGACAACTTAGAGCAACCTTCCAAGTCTCCAAGTTGAACTTTGCATCCGATTCCGGAAGGCCAACACAGTCAATCCGCAATGGCGTGCAAACAGGGTTTGGGTTTGGGGCTTACCAGTGACCCTGATTTCCTACAGCTTAGCACGAACAACATCTAATCGGTAGGCATAACCCAGAAAGCCGCAGGTTAAGGGACATTCTTGGGTGAAGTGAGTCACGGGATCTAACTTTGGATCCATAGCGTGACTTGTTGCATCGCAGCACTGGCCACCAATGCTGCCGTCGACCCGTCTACTGCTACGGCATCACGATTACTACAGTGGATATTCAAAATCCTGCTTGACCCTACCACAAACCTAGGGAATTATAGTACTATGGTATACTAAGGTCATGCAGCATTGTTAGTATCAACAGTACGATTATTCTCACTAGTTTTATTCAATGTGGTTTCAGCAGTGTTTGTGCTTGGAATTGCAAGTCCCAACTCGGCAATCTTTCCCGGCAAGCAGTATGAAGCCGTTGTTTCGAACATCTGGACCCCTATATAGAAGCCTCCTTCTAGTCCTTGTAATATGCCATGAAATCCATTTTTTCGTGCAAGCGCGCAAAGTAAAAAGAAAGCTCTGGTCAAGGACCTGATACCCAGGCTAGCGCAGCGAGTGCTAATGACCCTGCATGGCCAGCCTAAACCCCACCTGTAACGGCAATTCGCTACAGTTTTTGCAGCTTATACTTACGAATCTGGGGGGTAGTTACTTCTAAGCTGTAGGCAGTTGGGGTTGCAGGTAAAGTTAAACCATCAACCCTAACTAAACCCCCAAATCCAAAACCCTAAACCTTAAACCCTAAACCCTAGAAACCCTAAACTCATAACAGTTCAGGAGCCGGGCGATGTCAACGGATACATCACCCTGGCTTTTGGTGTTGGCGGAGTGGTCTTTGACTTGATCTCGTTATGGGCGTTCTACAATGGACACAGACACGAGGTTGAGGTTTAGGGGATTAGGGGATCAGGGTTTAGGGTTCGGGGTTCAGGGTGTAGGGTTTAGGGTTCAGGGTTTATGTCTCAGGGTTTAGGGTTAAGGGTTCGGGCCAAAGCCTAAGTAATTCCCAATATTGAGGTTTTAGATTCCTGGTACAAATTGGATATAAGATATCTACTAGACCGCAACCTGATATTGGTAATTACTGACTCAGGCCTCTATAGTATCCTAATTAGCTTTGGACGGACTGAGTTGTTTCAAGTCGTTTGCGAGGAAGTTCCAAAGATGTCGGAACAAAACTGAGACTTTCCTGCAACCCGTTGCCCTAATATGTTGGCCTAAAATGTAGCAGTGAAACTTCCTATCCCGCGAAGAACAGATATGCCTGCAAGAACAAATGGTAGTATGTTAGAGGTATTGATAATGATTCGGGGGGTGGCGGGGATCATTGCTAAACCCTAACCCTAAACCCTAAACCTTGCTAGCGCAGGAGCATGAACTCAGAACCTGGGTTGAGCAAGTCTGAGACAGGTTGCGTAGATTACCTTCAGCATTGACTTGCCAAGCCTGACAGAAGACTTATCAGGGCTTTCTAGTTACCCCAACCCCTATACCGTAACGTGGACCCGATCACTTTCATAGGAGTATAACAGGGTCCTAGGGGTTCGGGTAACACAAGTTCCCTCATTAAATGTGTTAACACGATCATGCCTTGCATCTCCAAAAGGGTCCATGTAGATATATAGTACACGCCTGGGCCCGAAAGTACTTTCACCCCTTCCAAGTATATACACTACTGTATACGTGCATTGTCCCTTGGGTATGCCCCCTTGAATGACCTTCGGGAAGCCGTCGTAGGTACAGGATTTCTATGTGCTGTCTGTTTTTCATCTGGAGTCCGTTTCCAAAAATAGCTCGGAAGCCCTGGTACCCAAACATAAAATATTCCCGGCGCTAGCCCAGCATTGTTGTGGACACTGAGGCCCTGAAGCTGAATGAAACATTAAACTTATTGGACATATCTGGTGCCTTCACCAAATTGTGCATCTTTCTAGTCTAGGGGCACCTTAACTTTCAGTTAGGGTTCCCTGAACATTACAACTCTAACCCTAAACCGGCCTAAACCCCATCCTGAAAGACAAGGAAAGCAGGGTGGTGGACGGGCGGTCAACATGTTCACTGCCCTCTTGCACGTGGGCGCCGACTTCTTGCGATCGACGTCGACTGTTGTGATGTCCATGCTGCTCCTCAGCTCACTGCCCAAGGACTGCTATGTAGTTCCTCTTCTGGTCTGTTGGTTTTTTCCGAATGCTCAGCAGAAGGGTTCCCGTTTTAAAGGTGACCAAAAGTCGGTGCGTTTGCGTCCGCAATGGTTCGCAAAGCGTTCGCTTTGGCAGTCGAAATGGTTGCGAAATACATATAATTGTCGTCACTTTTTGGACTTCGAATTACAAAAATGCCAACAGTCATGGGGACGGGGGGTCCTGGCCGCGAAGCGCAGACTTGTTGTCACTTTGCGACTTGCGTTTGGTCGTCGGCTGCGAAGCGCAGACGACGAGTTGCGTTTGGTCGTTGCATCTCAAAATTGTCAACAGTCACAGGGATTGGGGGGGGTCTTGGCTGCGAAGCGCAGAATTGTCGTCACTTTTGGAATTGCGTTTGGTCGTCGTATGTCAAAAGTCTTAACAGTCCTGGCTGCGAACCGCAGAATAGTCGTGGCTTTGGGACTTGCGTTTGGCCGTCGCACCTCAAAAGTGTCAACAGGCACAATGGTCGGGGAGGTCTTGGCTGCAAAGCGCAAACTTGTCGTCATTTTTGGACTTGCGTTTGGTCGTCGTATGTCAAAAGTCTCAGCATTCGCAGGGATCGGGGGGGTCCTGGCTGCGAAGCGCAGAATTGTCGTCACTTATGGACTTGCGTTTGGTCGTCGTATGTCAAAAGTCTCAACAGTCGCAGGGATCTGGGGGGTCCTGGCTGCGAACCGCAGAATTGTCGGCGCTTTTGGACATGCGTTTGGCGAGAGGAGAGAAGAGAGCAGAGAAGAGAGAGGACAGGAGAGAGGAGAGAAGAAAGAGGAGAGGAGAGAGGAGAGCAGGAAAAGGGTAGATGAGAGAGGAGAGGAAGATAGGAGAGGAGAGGAGAGAACAGAGAGCAGAGAAGAGAGAAGAGAGAAGAGAGAGGAGAGAGGAGAGAGGAGAGAGGAGAGGAGAGGAGAGGAGAGGAGAGGAGAGAAGGGAGAGCAGAGGAGAGAGGACAGAGGAGAGAAGAGAGAGGCGAGAGGAGAGGAAGAGAGGACAGAAAAGAGAGGAGAGGAGAGATGATGACGCCGGACTTAAGTTTCCTGACTGATGTCGCGTGTGGGTTGTTCGTATCTTTGCGAGTACGTGTCACGTGTCTGCATTCGGGTTCGTGGATCCTCTCTGGTTTGGTAAGGGCTTAGAGTGTACGACCCCAAAAGGAACTACATAAGAGGGTCCGGGTGAAGACACATGGGAGCTTCTCAAAGTCACCCCTATGAAGTCATGAATGGGGATCGTCCTGGGGTCTCCAGCAGGACCTTTCCACCAAATTCATAAGGTACGGGGCTTGTCGTGCTCAGGGACAAGAAGCCGTGGAGTTGTGTGAAGAGGGCCACGGTAACGTAAGGCAAGGAAGCGCAACAGTGCGTAGGAAATGGTTTGTATCCTCCTTGGGCCTGGGACCCCAGGGCCTAAAAGTCAAAAACAAATCATGCATTTTGCCCCCAGAGGTCAGGGGTATCCTGATACCCCCCGTGAGGGTCTTTAAATGCCACCTAGTTGGAGAAATCCCCAAACCCTAAACCCCCAGGCCTTAAACCAATAGCACACCTTAGCGGGAGCTGAGGGTACCCTATTTGGCGAGGCCGCTGGATACCAAAGCCATAGAGCCTCAAACCTAGATAGATACATATGTATGTGTATACCAGGACCCTCCTTGTACCCTTACATAGGGGATAATAGGGGTATATGGTCCCTAGTAGTGGGTACTTAAAGTAGATAGAGGGCAGATGGAGGGCCCAGGTATGTGTATAGATAAGTTTATATACACACACACATATACATAGTTATATATGCCCCTCACTACGCATGTACGTGCACCTGTATGTTGAGAGTCTCCACCCTAACGTATCGGGACTTAGGATCCTCTTTGGCAATTTTGATTCAACTTGCCTTGATGCCTACACCAGCATCCTGATTGGTGCGTCCATTGTTGCTGGAGCGCATCTTGGTGACGATTTAAGCTTTCATGTTGTTGGGTTTGAATTAGGGCTTTTGCAAAGCTTTTTATCCAGACCGTCCTATGTAGCTCCTTCTTGGGTAGTTTATCATAATCCCTCATCAAAAAACCATAACCGACCCAGAGAGGAGCCCTTTGGTAGGGTACCCACCCTTGCGGGAGAGCATGTTGGTTAGTATGCGCTTGGGCTTTTTGTGTTCGTATCTCCCACGCTCCTAAAAACTCCGCCAATCCACTGCCCCTCCTTTAGTGAACTATTCCCTCCAGCTATTCAACCCAAAGCCTTAAGCCCACATGCCTCACCCTATCCCCCTTAATAACCCCCATAGTAGTCCCCTACATAATTCCCGATATTCCCCCTCAAGGAGTTGAGACTATAGCTCAGCTGAGGTTGTTTGGTCTCGTAGGCTGGGCAAAGCTTGTTGGACAGTGGGGTCGGAAGCTGGTTTCGCAAAGAAGGTCCTTGCAACCTGAGCAAGGACCATGATCCATGTACAGCAGCGCCGCACTCCCCATCATCTTATGTGAGCCTGAATAGTTGCCGAACATATATTGAGTCCCATGTTGGGGTTTCCCAAAAATAGTGTGTTTTTTTTGGGTCTCAATAATAGAAATTATGATATTTTGGGATTCCATTGGGGTTACCCTATTTACTACGTTGGGAAAGTACTATGTAGCTTTTGCATTGAGCCCCGAAAGCCTTCTCCGACTTACTCAGGCCCCTGTAGCACTGACTTGTCCTGGCTCGCGCGGAGAATTGTAAAACATTCCTCACCACACAGTGGGATGGATGCGCAGTCACGGATTCTAGCTGGAGTCTCCGAATTAGCTGGGTGGGAGGAGTGTTCACAGCCGACTTCGTGACCAAATCTTGCACTGCAGCACCCATATAACAAACCACCCCTCCTCGCCCGCTGAAGCACGGCATGCTGTTCACGTGCACTTTCCGTGGGAGCACTTTCCGCGGGCCATTTCCCAAGTCCTTCAAGGGGAGGATGTGGGGGTCAGGGTTGCGGGGACAGGGAAGAGCAGTATGCATGTATGTACGTATGTATGCATGCATGCATGTCTGTACGTAACTGTTTGTTGGATGACGAAAGGCCGGCAGATTGGACTCAAATGCACAATCTTAGCCATACCTGCCATGTGGAGTTTTCAGTACTATTTTGTTTTGGTCTCCTGGCCTCTCCAATGCGGTCATTGCAGTGTTCACATGGACCCGCGAAGATACGCCAACGCCACTATAGGGCTCCAACCAGCTTGTTGCTTATGCAGGCGTTGCCATGGATGTTCAGGGCTTTCCGTGCCTCTAAGGTTTACAAAGCGGTTCAAATCTGCATGAACGTCCCTGGGCCCCTACACCAGGACCCTCCTGTTCCCTTAAGTAGGGGTATGTGGTTCCTAATAGTGGGTATTTAAAGTAAAATAAAGGGTAGATGGAGGGTCTAGACAGAGATTTTTATATAATATCTATATAACCCCTATATAACCCCTATATGACCCCTATATAATCGTTAGGATAGCAACTCTCCATCATGAAGCCCTGAATTCCCTTACGCTCAGAGTTGGCCCCAAGCCCTAAACCCCCAAACCCTACGTACACTCCTTGAAACTAGGGATGTTTGGGGCCGGCGAGTCTATGCGTATGGGAGTTTGGCAACATATTGCCTACATAATCCCTGTTCACGACCTCCACAATCCCGATGTAATCCCTGTACACCCCTGAGGTTCCTAAATCCTAAACCGAAGCGCTAAGCCTGAACTTTAGGGTCCTACTTTAGGGTCCTTAAGGGCCCCGTATTTTGGAAATCCCCATGTGTTTCAGATTTAATTCTTGCTCTTTCCAGGCTTTAGGGTTGAGGCCTGAGGGTAGTGGTACAAGCTACTAAAGGTTCAGAGGATTGAAGTTTAGGGGTCTGATTCCCCTCACGTGATTATCATTGTGTCATAGCCACCGTCATAACTTGTTGATAATCACCCGTGAGCCTCCAGGGATCTTAAATACAAGGTGTAAAGTTCATTTGGGGGCAGCCAGACATTCTGCCATTTGCCTTAAACCCTGAATCCTACAGTAACATACGACTACAACAGGCTTTGTGTTTTCCTTACAGCTAGGTCACACCCTGGCTAAGGGCTTAGTATTTGGTCTCCTTATTGAAATGGGCAAGTTATGACGACCTCACCCTACCTGAGCCCAAATGATTGCTGGGAGCAGCTCCAGTTCTGAAAGTTGTTTGAAAGACTCAGCCTGAACCCTAACTCCAGCCCTGACATTACCGATGGCCCCTACGGGGTAGCATCCATCTCCTGCCTGATAGCTGATCGCGCAGCAGGCGAATGGATCAGACTCACACAGCATTCTGAGGATACCACAACATGTGTTGTGCAAGGTTTTGGGGGCAAAGGGTTTTTGAAAGGCGCAAGCCGTAAGCTCTACGTATCCCTATACATGCCGTATAGAACTCCAGGAATTTGGAAGGGATCTGCCGGAAAGTCCTCATAGTTTTAAAGTATCTCTAGGGTCCAGCAAGGGCTCGGCCTCTTCTGGGGACATGGGGCGGGGCCATGAGGATGGAAGTGTGTTCTCGATGCAAGGAATTACGGTGACGTGGGTGCTTCTCCTTCATAATGTCCCAGGTTTCATATGACAGAAAGGATGGAGGCTGTCAAGCCATTTCTGGGGTTCCTCTCACCTGTACTCTAGTCAGAGAGCCTGAGAGCCCAAAAGCTGCGGTTTCCGACTTTGTCCGCATTTTCAGAATTTCATTGTGGGGCATGAGCAGTACGCCTTTCGATGACACAGCCATACAGCGGGGGCTTGGCTTGGATATCCTAACGTATATAGTTCCCCCGTAAGTAGATAGAATTTGGCTTCGGGTATATTATAGAAAAGATCCCCATATACCCCATATTCTATCTACTTAAGGGAAACGATATTCTATAGTGTGTCCAATAACATTTGGCATCCTCAAGAATTCATTTGGC